TCAGAACGAGTGATGAGTACAATACGACCTCCCACGCATACGAAACATAACAATTAGACACTAATGTCGATCGACTAGCTTCTGAAATGCAGCTACGCATGTATTGAAGGAAATTGTGCTTGGCTTAAAGAACTGAACAAGCGTACTAAAGGTGGGCTTGACTGCTTCTGGTGGAGCACCAGCCGCACATTTGAGACTTCGCAGCAACGACGAGCTCAGCACAGCGTGAAATTGTTCACTCTACTCGTAAAATTAATGACAACTTTGCTAGAAATGTGTATAAATATACCAACTTTCTGTTCAGAATAGCTAGGCACGACAAGATTTGGTCGTGTTTTGTAGAAGCTGGCGATTTTTGATAAGTGATAGAGAAGAGAAGAGGGAATGATAGAGAAGAGAGGGAATGATGGAAAAGAGAAGCGTTACTTCATGGAACTACTAAATCACTTTTGGCATGTGAAATATGAAATATAAAGTGAGCACGACGATATGATTTATGCTTGAAAGAGGCTACTTGCTCTCTTCTCTGGATGAAGAGATAGAACTCTTCTTCATGGCAAACTGATAGGAAGGACGAATATCACACTGAGAATTGGATTAACCTGGAATATATAGCGCGATTTAAAAAAGGAAATAGGCTCCCATAATGGGAATAAGGTTAAAATGTTCCCGATTTTTCAATAAATAATTACTGTCGACTTTCGAGATAATGGATGACAATTTTCATGACGTCTTACCTTGTCAGGTTTTGAGCAAAACAGAGAACACCTGCCAAATTCTGTGACATAATAGCCTACTTAAATTGAGTGTAATAATAGACTTCACAGCAAAATAGAAATCCTCAAGTAGAAGTGTCTCATTAAAAAATTAGGGTGCCACCTATAAAAGCGCTAGAAGTTATTTTATATAGAGATAGAGAGATGAAGTTGAAGGAGACATTAATCAATGAAGGACACTGGACAACATTAAGAGTAGAAATTTTTAGCACGCGGCACAAAATCGAACAGAAATATGGGCAGTGGATTTTATTTGTGCATAAATTCTCACGATAAAAAGGGGATAATGTGATGTAGAAGGAGACTAAAGCAATCAAAAAAGAACTGTGAAAAACCCTACTTCTCCAGGATCAACTAGGGATGATATGACTCCCATAAACAGGAAAAAGCTTTTCTTTCTTTTGTTCTCATCATAGTTTGGGTTTTAGGCTTCGAAGAGGAGTAACTTGGTGAAAACATAAGAAATTCCTCTTCGTCGAAAAACACGATGTTAATAAGTAACATTTAGTACATATTTCAAAACCGACTTTTCTTTAACCTCGCTATGACTAATCAATATGCATTATTTCTTTGGTAAGCTTAGACGAGGTTGCTAACCATTCTTTATTCGGCTAACCTTTTGAAGTCTTCGTCTTCATCAGAGCCATAGATCAGAGTCTTCAGACTCGGAAGAAAAGAAGTAAAGAAGATTGCCTTAGGTGATCATGTATATTAATTCTATGGGCGTAGCCAGAGTGGACGGAGCACACGATGAGATGAAATCAATTAGGTTTGGATGAAACAGTAGGCAGTAAATAGATAACAACGAGAACGAGGAATGCCTAGCCTGTACGTGATAAGTGTAGTGGTTTGAGGACGCAGGGAGTCTCTGCTCTTGCCCCTCGTTCCCATGGCACCCATATCAATGAGCGACTTTCTACCTCAAAACCACAACGCCAGTGCAAAACAGGACAGTTCGAAAGACAGTCGACGACATGGGACACGTAAGAGTGAAACAACTGAGGAATCGAATGAGAAAGACTAAGGCTTCTCTCAAGCACTAGGAAGTCAGTAGACAGGCAATTCAGACTAATATTGGGCACAGTGTTTCTTTACGGCCACCATTTTCAACAGGTGCTAAAGATAACTTGATCTTCAGCTCTAATGGGAAGAAAATCGCTGAAGAAAAAACTTTGACATATGTGAAATTAATAAAACCGCTGTCAACAAAACTGTATGAAAAAACGATGGCTGAATGAACGAGACTACAGCTGAGTAAAAAAGCAGCTGAAAACAGAGCTACGCGTATTTGGGAAGTAACTTAGGAACCAAAATGAAGGATGACGTTGTTGACCATGACACTATAGAAATCTCTGCGTTGAAAATAATAACTAGTGAATGCCAGCGACTTGAGGAACTTGCATTGTTATTGTTGTGATTTCTCTGAGACATCTCCTCATTCTAAAGCACTGAAGAGAGTCGTCTTTGACGATCTCGTCAGTACTCTTCGCAATACTGAAGTGCCAGAAACACATCAAGATAGACATGGACTGATCGCGTGAACATCACTTCTGCTAAACGGAACAGCGCACGTACTTCTCGCAGAGGTAAAAGCGATGTGTTCCAGATATTTGTGTTTGTGTCTTCTTGAAAAAAGGCTGCGATCAAACTGAGTGACAAAAAGCGCATTGTGAACAGAACGGCGAAAGAAGAAATCGAGGCTAAGAATCCAATAAGCAGTTGCCCTCCAGATAAGCTCATTTTTGCAATCGTTTGCCAGTGTTGAAAATTCCAGGGCCTAGTGATTTGTAAAGGGAAATTCTGACAACACCAATAGAGTAATCGGCTCAGAGAAAGGTAAATCAATGATGGCGGTTGGTGTCGTGGATAGCACTTGAACCCTCGGTAAGGATAGAGGAGGGTTTGAAGCCTCTAAAGTTCCTAGTTTTGCTTACATCTCATCATTCTTGTGCTTGTATTTTGCACCGTACCTTGCCATCAAAAATGAATAGCAGCAAATAAATGTCGGAACAGAGAATCTGTACTACAAAGACAAGAAAAAGAGTAATACGAATGAGTAAATCCTTGTTGACAAAATTTGTAATTTAAAACTGCTCACTAGGGTAAACTAGTTGTACACGCAGGTGGGTTAATATATATTCATATATATATATATATATATATATATATATATATATACATTCATGTATGTATACACACATATATACACATGTATATGCATGTATATGCATGTATATTCACTAAAGAGAAAAAGACCTGCTCCTAGGTTGACCTTAAATGGTAAAAAATTCTGCTAGGTTAAAATAATCCGTGGAAACTGGGTTTTTTTAATGCTTCAGATAGTACAGCCCAGCGTCAATTCCTGTTTCGCTCGGGTTTCTAACAGTTACATTAACTTACATTGTCGAAGGAAACTAATTACATCCGAAGCTGAATCCTTTGATGTCGACTTTAGCCAAAATCCAAGAAGAAGAACAAGTTTAACTACGAGATTGGCAGCTCAGCTGCTCGACAAGAGCTAACAATGATCATTTATAAAAGAATTGTAGCCAATGATTACGGGTAAAAACGATGTTGAATGTCTTGAAATCAACTGCAACTCACACGGCACGTAGCAATTCGACAAACTAAACTCGATATTAAGACTGAGACGAAAGAGCTAAAATACATTGCAATAAGTATGGATATGGACAAATTTGACTAGTTGGGGACAAAGCTGCAAATTTTCATTACTAATGACCGGCGGAGGGACAAGTTACTGAACCTTTCTTGATAGCCGTGAAAACCTGAGTCCTTCTGAGGCAAAGCTGTGAACCACAAATCAAACTGTGCTTCACAAATATTTCTATTTTCATATTCATATCGATAAGACTCTATGATTGTGAAAAATATAAATTACAGATAACCATCCAAAGAGAAATGATGTTCCGAACACTACAGATTTTGTGATGGAAGAAACTGTGGATATCATTTAGTGGAAATTCAGTAAGCATGCCCTTTTGTAAAAGTAAGAAAGAGCACGTAATTTCACCAAATGAACTCTGCACAACTCGTAGCATTGTTAGGCGACTCATTCTAATCGAACAGATTCCCATCACATCCAATATTTTTGAGCCACCGGTATACGACTGCAGAGGGAAATTGAAATTGCATTAAGCGAGCAGGATTAGGGCAAACCGCCCCACTGGAAACAGCGATGTGTATAACGGTGATTGTCAAGTGTTTATAAAGTTCATCTGATGCACTTCAGCTGCTAAGAGAAGTGTATCGCATTCGTGACGGGAAACGTTACAGTAATCCCCACGCCGGCGTATCTTTTAATAAGCGCGACAAAATTATGTTTGGCCGGTGATGTGCTTCAGCACACAAATACCGCGCAACTGTCATTAACACTCTCAATTAAATGCGCGCTCGTCTCGCAACGATTTGCAGGGGCTCGTCGTGAGCCGTCGACAACTCGAGCCAATGCAGAAACTCGAACAAAACTCATAGCATCACAAATTCATGCATTCTGTCATGTTCCAACTTTGTTCGCGAAGAAAATCGTTAGTCACGAGACAGTTTGTGTCCGTCTGTGACGAAAAAAAAATATTTGGAACAAAGTGCAGAGCTTATTTTCAATCAATGGCTTTCCATGTGGTGTGTACGCACAACACAGAAAATCCAGGTTCATCGCATGAACTATGAGGATATATTGCGTATTTGTACAAGCACTGCAAATGGGACACCGAATTTGGATATTGTTCTTAATGTTAATCTACAAATGCCTAAAAACTAGGGTTAAATCTAAGACTACGGGCGCGCGAGCATCTTCACTCAGAACTGAAATGTACCACCATGAATTCAATACACGGTAGTATCTCCCACATCCGATTTTCTATTAACCTCAGCATTGATTGAATAATTCTTTATACTTCTGTTCAGCAAACACGAAGTGTTATTTTATTTCTTTATTTACGTACAAGCTGATGTTTCGGCGGATTTCGCCTTCCTCAGAGCCTGGAAAGGTCAAGTTGACTGCAATCTACACGGCCAAACATCTCCGTAACCAAACAGAGAAAATACTGAACCAAAATTTCAATCACATTGAACACAAAGTCTTTGCACACAAACCGCTCACACAGTAGTATTACATATAAGTTGAGCAAAAACCCACTATATTTGATGCGCTTCAGTGCTCTGCAAACAAACACCGAGGGATCGTCATTAATGCCAGCAATTATGCTATCCTGTGCCACGGAACGAAAAGCACGACGCACTCATTTCATCGGCCCACACATCCCGTCGAGCCAGCTGCACTCCGTCCCTCACCTGCGAACTGTTTGAGGACAATCGTCGGACCTCTACCATCACACCACTTCTGCGATATCGCCCATTTAAACAATGATACATCGTGAGAACAAGTATCTCGTTTCCCTCAGCTAAAATATCGAAAATCGGTGCTAGCGAAACGGAACCCAGAAAAGTCGAACAGGTACGCCGATGTTTAAACCAAGCTCCTTCGAAACTGAATAAACAGTACTAAAAAATCGTGCTAGCATAGACTACCATTTCAACAATTGTAGCCAAACAGTTACCTACCACTTCGTTCCGCTATTGCGTTGAAATCTGATCCGCTTACAGTAATCCATCCGTCTACTTTCACGTAAATTGTCCCTTTCAAACCCATCGCAATAGACGGCGACTGGAAACGAGGACAACGGCCGAGAAGTGATAATATCTTTACAATCCTCATCGATATACCTACTACGAGTTAGGACCGGAAAAAAATAACTAGATAAGTTTTGAGAAAAAAGGAAAAATCGATGTCTGGCTGGGCTCGTCAACAGCTTTTTAGAAATATAGAAGTGTATAACATAGAAACATCGACTCAAGGATTTCTGTTAAGTGATGAGTCAAATTTTCTAGAAATGGATTTGCTACTAAAATGGCCATTTTAACTGATAACTCTAACATGTCCTTGTCAGGAGTGGAGGAGCCGTTATGTAGTACAAAATAGATAAAAGCCGAAATAGAAACGAATCATTTACAGAGAAGCTTATAATGCTGAAATAAACCTGTATGCTGTGACAGTCATTTTGAAAGGATAAATGCCAACTAAGAAAAACTGCTGTATAGTACTCCACTCCAATTGATTCGACTTGATCAAGACCAATATCAGAAAAAGCAACTGCTATAAACTGTCGACTCGAATCATCGTGGCTCTGGCGGATACAGTTAATCATCGGTCGAATGCGATGCGAATAAAGAGGTTCCCCATATAACTCGCTGAGCATCTATGTGAGAAGAAAATCACCAAAAAGGTCTCATCCGAATTCTCTTGGCATGTGGAGAAGGAATTCCAAATGCGAACATTAAATGGATACAAATAAATATCCCATACATCTGTCAAACGTGTGCTGATATCACCGGCGAAGAAGAAAAACCTAATCTAAAAAGCGAATGATTTGGAGAAAAAAAAGGAGCGGAACATTAACCACTAACCGCTAGCGCTGCTAAGGAAACTCGGTGACACCAAACTGGTGAAAACCATTTTAAAAATTCACCCTTAGAATCTTGGAAGAATCCTGTTCATGGCTAGTATTACTCTGATTATGGTGAATAGTACTGTCAACAATGGCTGAAGCTATTGATTTTCCACGGATTCACGTCATCCTCGAATAGAAGTGATGTATTAAGCTTGTGTCAGTGTAAACATCGTTTAAAGCACAAATTAAGGTATAAAAAAATAATTGACTGCGGGTTTCCTTTAGCTTCATTTCCAATGAAGTTTTGCCAATAGATTTCTTCTTCTCAAGCTCTAGTCGAAGGATAGGAAAATAAACATGGAAGGAGATGAGTTACCATACAAATTAAGGTATTATGTATGAAGAGAATAACAAACCCGATGTACTGAAAATCAGTCCGTACGTCACAAAAGTCACTACAATGATTATAAATAGAAGGTACGACAGATGCTTTTTGCACTGAATTCCATACATATTTTGAAATTACGAGCAGCTGACCGGGTATTTATGAACTAATTGGACTGAATTGTTAACACGGTCGTAGCAACATTGAATTAACAATTACTAGGATTGGCATAGCCGTAGAGAGTAATGACCATCCTACGGCTTGCATGAATGAATAGAATCATAGCGATACGTCCCTTTGTATTCGGAAGAGGAGGAGGAGTGTATATAACTTGATTATAACCAGATGTGTCCCCTTAGGGAACACAACCACAAATGTGGCACCACCTACACACTACCGGGCTGAAGCGTAGTTTTCGCAGCGACACCCATTCGTACAAATTGCAATATAATGGACATAGGACGAGAAACGATTATGAGAAGCAGCATCAAATAATGAGATGTCTCAAATTTTCAGTAAGCAACTTCATGCAAGAATCAATTAGTTTGAAGATTGAAAGTCCTCAACACTAACTTTCAGTAACAAAAACAAACTCCGCATCAGTTTTCGAATGAAAATCTAGTGATACAAGTTTAAAAAAACTTTCCAAAACCGTCACCAAGCGCGGGTGTGCCCGGAGCTAAGATTATTCGAATGGAAGCACGGTCGACAGATTCGGGAGAACAATAGCGCATTTGGATGCTCCGGTTAGCAACAAAAAAGACCAAAACAGTTCTTCACTTTGGCCCAGCGAACTGTTGTAGCATGCATTACATGTATAGTCGCATGAACACATGTGCTTAAGAAGACTTCATATTTTGTGAAGGATTTATAGAACTACAAGAATTCCTGAACAGTTAAGACTTGAAGAATACCGAATACGAACGGTAGAATGAGCGACGACCGTATAAGAAAAAAGCAAAAAGAAAAAATGTAGGGAACTGCACTAAGCGAACTCCTAGCGACACGTTCGTTACTTGAGCAGTGGTCCCAACAGTGCAGCACTAGCTGATGATGACGAGCACTCACTTAGTGTCCTGGCGCGATCACGTCCGTCCAAGCAAGTGTGTCCATATGCGATTTGAGAGTCGGTCGGAGTTATGCGGAGTGATTAATTATTAAAGTGTGTCTGTGGCGAATGATTGGTGCTGAGACGAGCCGATTGTCTGAGTTCGCCTACTCGCAAACGAGTCACATCAGACATAGTAATGATAAGGTATCGCACATTTTGCCAGATATTTTAAAAGTCCACCGTGATAAAACAGATGATGAGCAATTAAGTTGTTTGGTAAACAACAGAAGTCTTGCCTTTTCAGATCTTCGCTTTTTACTAAGCAAATAATCTCTTTGTACATCCTCCTAACGGTTTACCGCTTCATCGTGGCTGGGCAGTGTTCCCGGGTGTCGGACTGCCATGTAGAGGTGGGGATTCATCCCCCGGCAAGGTTTTCCAAGCTGAGAAAGAGTCCGACTTTTTCATCAGGAAGCCTAGCTAAGAGTAAACCAAACCAGGATCGACCATAGTCCTTGTATCATATTAGTCGCATGATGGCAAATCTCACTGTAATTCGCAAGGGAAGCAAGTGCCAGTGGTGGTGACGACCCAGGACAGGCTTTAGCCAGGATCATCTCGGGATTCCAGGGAACCACGATGACTGAACCAGCAAGTCTCAAAAAAAATGAAGATTATCCTAGGCCCGCGCAACTAGTGAGGACGGGCTGTCCAAGTATCCAAGTATATATATATACATATATATATATATATCAGTTTAGACAGGACATTATGAACTACGAAGATTGAAGACAACTATGAGATTATTAACCTGTGAACGATGACAATTACTTGAACGCATTGACTGGAACAGATTGACCGATAATGGTTTGAGAGCTTTCGTAATTAAATAGCTATGGCGGAGCAGAAACTTCGAAACACCTCAACTAAGTTAGAAAGCCGAAAAAGAACTCTGCAAATACTTGCCGAATGAATTGAATGATTGGACCAACATTAAGTATGCCAACACTTCACAAAGCCAAACTAGCATCGGAAGGATGGCATGATTACTTCTCGTATTCAGGAAACGGAATCAGTCACTATAACTTCTTAAATGGTGGCGAAATGATCTTCTCAGAAAACTAACGTAATGGAACCGATGGAACCGACAAAATAATTAATAGCCGCATGGTGTGGTGGTGAACGCGTTACTCCCCGGAAAGGACAATAGCGCGTTCGTTCCCCACCATAGACACCTGCGGTCCAGAGTTTTGCAAATATCTCAGCAACTTTGTGGTTGTATTTCGCTTAGTAACCTGCCACGAAAATTATAGAAGGCAGAAAACAAAACGTTAAACAAAATAATTAATAATTAGAAAACCTGCGAATGGCAATGGTCAATCGAGAAGGACAAATTTAGTAACACAACGAAGGCCACAACTACCTCTGCAAAGTTCTAATGAAATCAGATGCTAAACTTTGCCCATTCCTCCATACTATTGGACTTATCCCCAACAAGTTTCACCTCTTCGGGTACCTCGACAAATAAATACTTAAGAAATCACCCAATAACAACTAACGCGATGACGTAGGTGCAATCCGAAGATTCACAGACTTCAGAAACCAATCATTTCGCTGCGATGAAATGGAAAAAAATCGGATCACGCTCCTTTTCCCTTTTGTCTTCTCTCTTTGACTGTAATCGCTTTAAATCCGACTAACAACCCTTGAACCAAACCGAATTTGGAATATAAAGTTCGAAATCAAGCAACTACTGAACAAAGGAAAATCCTAAGTAACAACAAGTAATAAGGAAAGCGAGCATCAATAGGAAAAAACGGAAAAAGAGCCCAGCTGGTGGTTTTCATTAGCCCATAACGAAAGTAACGAGATATTAGACGGCAGTTTTTCCGACATCGAACACTATTTGATATTATCATGCCTTTTTGTACTTCAATATACTTAAGTGCTATAATAGACTGCATAGTCAGAGATTGTTAAGTCGAGGGTTTTCCATTTGACAAACATTCACTGGAACTAATCCTTGTACTACACCCCAATAGAGCCTGAAAACGGTCCAGCTGAAGTATGACAGAAAAATAAATCTAACAAATTATCGCAAGTTGGTTGCATCAAATCAGTGAATAAGATGGGTCTCACCGGATTGTTGAAAAAAACAATATACGTTTGCAATAGTCCTCATTCTCCTTTCCTTTCTTTTCTATATTGAAAAAAACCCAGTGAAACTCACATTTGACCCAACGTCCTGTAAAGATCTTGTCTTGTCCAGTTTCAGCTCCTGATGGGTACTGTACTGCGCAAATATGGTCCTGCCACGAATCTAGAAAAAAACGAACTTCTTCCACTTATGTGTGGGCGTCAATAATGATATAGAGACATAGAAACACAAGCTAGTTAAACTCGTTTTCCATGGAAATAAGATTTCACAAGAGAGAGGTATATTACATATGGAACGCACTCTAATTCAATTCTGGAAGTCATTTTCTTGAAGAAAACGTTAAAATACCGCTTTTTAACAAAAATCACTTAGCTTTCCAATTCAAGGAATTACGCGCCCACGCCCTTCAAAGGTTCGATTAAAGGCTTCTATACTACTAAACGCCTCCTTTGTATGTATCAAAATAATACTTTCTTTTACCTGAATCGGAACCGCATTCATCGAAGTGACGAAGCCGACTGCACTATGTTCATCTTCGTATTCGATAAATGCCTTAACAAATTGGTATTAACCAACCCCGATAGTTCGCGTAACGAATTTCCTTCCA